TTAAAAGAAGAATATTTATTTAAAATGGATATGATAAAATTAAATTGGGCTGATCAAAACTTAATTCGAAAATTTTATGAATTAATACCTAATGACGATGTTATTCAAGCGGCTAAACAACTATGGCAAATAGCAGCCGATGAATTAAGAACAAAAGAAAAACAGGAAATCTTTCGACAATGCATCTATCTGAAACGATTACCAAATAAAATAGAACAATTATTAAATAATTTACTTGATCATAATCGAAAAACGGTGAACAATTCCTTCTATGATGAAGATCAACGTGTTAGTTGTGATTCACGTTGCTTAAAAATGGTTAATCAATGTCAATTTAATTTAATGTTAATTTATTTGGATGAATTTACTATGTGTTTAGATCGTTATGCCAAAACTTATCAGAAATTAAAAGATCAAATAATGAAGAACAATCGTGAAAATCCAATAATTTATACAAATATACTCATCGATCTCATCGAACAACGTCGACAGGCAATGACACAACGATTTAATCGTATTCGTCAATATCATTTGAAGACTTTTTTCGACCAAGCTCCGGCGGTGCATCTCAATTAAAAAAATTCAATCACCGTCGGAGCGGTTCATTTTTAATTCGTACAAAAATGACCAGTACAATAGCATTTATTGATATCAATATTCATTTAAATCTCAATGGATTATCTATGTTAACAAATGGTCGTAAATATATCATACCATGTCAAAGTTACTTTAATCGTCAATCAAGAAACGACTTAGCCAAAATAAATTATGAACGAATATCAAACATCGCAAAAGAATGTATTGGTAAACATCAAATGTCAGTAAGTGATGAACGAGCTAAACTAGCTTTTCGTGAATTAGAACAAATGATTCAAGAATTATACACAAAACCATTATCAAGAAAATTATATCGACGTGCGCAAGGTGAATATCGCATCGTAAAACGACTTCAAAAATTAATTCGTACTCAATCGGACATTATTATACGTCGAATAGATAAAGGTGAAGGATTCTATTTAGGTAGAAAAACAACGATGGACATGAAAACACAAGAATATATGAATAAAACTGAAGCTTATCAAGTTATAACGACCGATCAATGCCCTCTTATGAACATTTTACATTCAGTTGAAAATCTACTCGATTATCTTCTCAAGAATAAAGCAATCACTTCAGATCGACGTAAAAAACTCTTACCAGATGTTAACAAACTTGAATTAGCCTATTTATATACTTTACCTAAAATACACAAGGTATGTTCTACTTAAAAAAAAATATGCTTATATTTCATTAAATTATCATCATACCTAAATGTAAACTTTTTTTTTCTGAATATTATTTTAGGCTGGTATACCAATACGTCCGATTATTTCTGGCTTACATGCTCCAGTTAGATGTATTTCCAAATTTTTAAATGATTTACTTGCACCAATTTATTTACAAGTTGCACATGAGACAACATTTACTAATGGTATTGATGTCATTCGACGACTCGAGCAATATGCTGCCAAAGGTTACTTGAAATCAACAACAAAATTATTTACAGCGGATGTAGAAAATCTCTATACTATGGTACCACGTGAAGGTGGCATTAAGGCTTTAATGGAATTTTTAAACAAACATACAAAAAATGGTAAAATTGGGCCATTTACGATCGATATGATACTCAGAATGGCTCGACTCATTTTGGATACAAATTATTTTGTTTATAATGACAAGTATTATCACCAGAAACGTGGTGGAGCAATGGGTTCAGCATTTACACAAGTCTTCGCTAATATTTATATGCTCGAATGGGAACAAGAATTAATTCAACATCAAGCATCAAGAAATGAAATATACGGAAGGTAAGTCTCATTGATAACTGAAAGTATACCTACTAACAGTTTCTCATTTATTTTAGATATATCGATGATATTTTTATGACAACAAACATGAATATAGATGAAATAACAACACTACTTGACAAAGTACAACACAAGGATCCAAATATTAAAATAACACCTACCACAGCAGAGACGGTTCATTTTCTGGATGTTGCTATTATGAACGACAATGGACACTTAAGAACATTCATTTATCATAAACCAAGTGCTGATCCATATTATTTACCATATACATCAGATCATCCGCATCGAATACATAGAAATATACCATACATTGGATTGTTAAGAGCAGCAAGATTTTGTTCAAATTTACATGATTTTCATTTAGAACGAATACGTATTGAATTAACGCTATTATTAAATAATTATGCACCGAAAGTGGTTTCAAATCAATTTCATCGATTCTNCCAGACAGACCAAACAAGAAAAAAAAGGTCGAGTCTCGGTCAAAATTTTCTTTTTTTCGATTTTGCGACCGAAACTGCCCGAGACTCGACCTTTTTTTCTTATTTGGTCTGTCCGGTTTTATGAATAGCTAAAGGTACTCAAGCTGAACAATTCTTAATAAAAATCTCGTACAGCCTCGGGGGTTCTTGCAAGCGAAGAAGCCTCATCTTTGTAAGAGAAATGTCAGTCTCGGTACATCCCTACTCTTATATATGTTATATTGTATTTATTATTTTATTACAGTAATAAGTTTTACTCGTTCTTACTAATTACCTTTATTCCTTTACAAATTTTATTACTTCATTATTGGTAATAAGAAATAAAAATTTGAAAGTAATAAAAGTTATAGTAATAGATTTATAAAATAATCCTCCGTATTTTAATACATAGAAGTAGTCAATGCATCATACTGGCATTAGAATGATAAGAAGAAAGCAATTACTGATGAAAAGTAATAATAACTATTACCAATTACCGAGTAATACTAATAAAAAGTAATAGTAATGTGCCACCTTTTATTCTCTATTTCTTGATTGAAAGAAAAAGTATGTTTTTCCATTTTTCAGTTTCACAAAGATTTCTTTTGGAACTTTTTTTTCTACGTGTAGTTGATGAACTATCTTTACGTGACTCGATTAATTCCACTTCATATACCATGAAATACTTTCCCACATATTTCAATTCAGCTGGGAAAAAAAGCCAATCCATCCAAATCTTCTATAGAAAATGTTCTTCGAAAAGAAGAATCTATTTGGCAGTACATCAAATCAACAATGGGTATTCAATGTGAATTTCCACATAAGTTAAATAACGTTCTTCTTTATGGTGAATTATCAGAAAAAATTCATCTTCCTCGACTTTATCGATTGTACCTTCCATCGGATATGGAAATTGATACTCGAGAATTTTTTATTGAATTATCAAGAATATTCAACTGTCAAACTGAAGAAATCGATGCACATTCAGCAGCTGCTTGTGCTTATGAACAATATAAAGACAAATAGTGTTCTTATTGCGCTTTTTTTCTGGTTTATTATTATTATTATTTTTGCTTCGCTGTTCTGTCTCTCGTCCTTTATTGAAAAAGATCTTAAGCAAGGTCCATTAGTCCTTGTTCTAATTTCTAGTTTTTTTTCTTTCATCGTTTTCTACAATAGAAAAAACTTTCTTGTTATATAATAGTTAAGATATAGCAGTTGAACTTGATTCTTCTGTAACATCTAATGAAAAATATCATGATAGACATTAATTGTTCAAACATTTCATTCCATGATAACAATGATAAGTTTTGAAGAATCTATGAAAATAATCTTATTCAAAATGAGAAAAGTTAGCTGAGTAAAACTTTTTCAGCTCCTTTTCCATCATCAAATAATCATTTTTTTAACATCAAACGAGTACTGAACTTACTTGTTACCATACTTTAATTCATAAAGAAATGATAATAATCTTACATTTTAAAATTATCCGTATATAACTTTGTCATATATCATTCCTCATGGCATGTAAACGAACCCTATTTTTTCTTCTTTCATATGGTCTTATATGTACGGTTATTACATTACGTTACAATTTTCAAGTTTTTTCTCATTAGTAATAGCTACAAAAAACCTGAAAAAAAAGAGAAACAGATTTGAGTAGCTGAAAGCATTCTCACGAGGCAACCGAGGGTGGGTGTGGACGTGGGTGTGGATATTAATATGGACGTGGATATATTTATCAACTAATAATAGCAACACCCACACCCAGCACCTTGCCTCGAATCACAGAAGTCTCATTCTTTACAAGTATGAGTTTTCACTCAAATGAAAAAAGAACAATTTAATGCATTCATTCAGAAGCTAAGAAATATATTTTTTCCACCGTTTTCATGTTAAAATCTAAGAAAACGAAGAATTTTCATCAATGGAAATTTCGGTCACAACTAAGAAGAAGCATTCCGACTTCTGTATTGAGTGTTTACTGTAGATAGAAAGATCAATATTTTACTCGTAGTCGATGAAAGAAGCAGTTTTCTGTGTTTTTTTGTCAATATCTATAGAAAAGAATTGGACCTGTGTTATTTTTAGCCGAAAATAAAAATTCGATTTTTTTATTCGAAAATTCTTTAGTCGAATCTCAATATCACTAAAAACGAATCACACTAAAAAATCTCTCTATAGAATACTTTCTCCCATTCATCGATTTGTCAAATCCCGATGCATCACAGAATGGTGAATTAGACAAATAAAGAAATCAGTGGAGATAATGAAAGAAACAACGTTGTCTTCATTAATTTTGATAATCATGGAATTTTTTGAAATGTTAATAAGCAAAATAGACACCAGATGAAATTAATAAAACAATATCTCGTAAGGACAGGTGGAAGTGACATGAAAATTCGACATATGCTATTATTTCAACTAAAGATGACTCCTAGTTTTGAGTCAAACGCTCCAATAAAAAATTTTATTTTCATTACAACAACTAAATAGACTAACACTACAAGATATTGATTTATTTTTCCTATTATTATGATTAATGTCCTCTCTTGTCTATTTTACTTATTAATTTTCTCCGTTGACTAAATGTGAAATATCCCAGTGACTTCTTTCACCTCGGCGATTCCTTCTTTAAATTTATTTTACTTTCTTGACAGAGACTTACATATCTGATTCGTTTACATATTAGGATTTCGACATTGTCATGCATGTGCCCGTGGCTTCTCCTTTTCTTACTTCTGATTTTTTGAAAAAAGCAAACATATATATCGATTTCTTGTTACCCAATGAATTGTAACCACATTGAATTTTCAGAAAACGTATAAGTTAAACTACTCATGTTTCAATACGAATGTTCGTGTAGTATTGCACGAATAATAAAAAGGGCTGGTGAATTATATTTAATATTTAATTTCTTTATGTAGTCGTTTTGTTTTGAGTCATGTTTGTGTCATTTTATTTCAATTTGATATTAAAAATTGTTCGATTTACTTGCAGGATCTTGAAAGTTCATTAAATTGAATGTCTTTGATTTATTTAAATTTGACTAAATTTTAACTGATAACCAATGGAAAGACTAAGAAGTCAGACTAGAGTTCTTCGATAAAAATCTATCATGCAACATTGTCATTCGTTTTCCAAGGCAATAGCTTCTTTTTCTACTCTATTGTATTCGAACATCTAACTCCCAGGTCGTGGACGTACGGCAGGAAACGGCCGGAAAGCACAGGAAAGCGCTGGAAACTGGAAGCAGTATTCCAGTTGGAAGTTACCGGATTTTCTTCCTGTAGATTCCGATCAACTTCCAGATGTAAAACACAGAAAACTGACCGNCTCTAACTTCAAACGGGAATACTGCTTCCAGTTTCCAGTGCTTTCCCATGCTTTCCGGCCAGATACGGTGATTTTTCCGCATCTTTCCGGCCGGTTCCTACAGTATCCGTCCTCCGGAATCATTGACCTGGGGCTGTAGTGATGAGGTAAAAATGATTAACATTTTCCTTTTATTTTATCAGCAAAATATTTATCTGAGGACTACTACCATCAGAAAATTTCCTCCTAATAAATATTTAAGAACATATTACATAAAAGTTGTATGAACTACGTAGAATTCTTTATTTCATGTGTTTAAAATTAATGAAGATATACGACCGCTCATCGAGCAGAGTTTCGCATATCAATTTACAGGATCATATCATATAGTTAGAAATAATGATTAGCATTGGAATACCACTTCTATGTTTTTTTTAAAATTTTTTCATATAGGTACTCCCCACACTCATTTTGAACTGGAATCAAATCGGAGACACTGGGGCACAACATTTGGGACAGGCGCTAAAAAGATAACAAAGTAAGTGATTGTTTCAACTGATTAATCTGTTACAAATTTTGTTTTTTCTCATTAAAAATCACTTCAATTTGTTGATAATCAATATTTGAGTCGCTGGCTACTTTAGCAAACTTCCTCACCTTTCATTGTCAAGAGTTTATTGTGCTCTCGGTAAATAATGAACATAAGTTTGTTACTTGTTCAAATAGAATCTATAGACAACTGAAGTAAAGTTGATTTCGGAATCCTATATAAAAGTAATAATAAGATCGAATTTTCATTTCGGATAGACTTAACATATTTTGATGGTTAGTTTCTATTAAATGCAAGTGATGTGCAATATTCAGATAGAGTGCCTTTTTATAAGGCCTATACAACTGTTGAAGTGTCGGTGTAAGTTGAAACTGTTTTGAATTTCTTTTCGAATTAAACAAACAGAATTTTCCAGTCGGAAATGAAAAATTTGCGAGATTCTTATATTTTTCGTGTCAATATCTTACAAGTAGAAGAATTCACAAAGAAAACGTTCGGTACTCGTCCCATTCCATGGAATTCGACCATTAGTATTTGGAACGTTTTGTTCAAAATAAACAATATACGAGTTTTTTTCTTGTTTGCTCTTCCAATATCTCTTGTAAATGTAAGGAGCGTTAATCGTTAGAATTTTCGTCCTTTTTCTTATGAAGAAATTCGACTTTTCATATGATTTTCAACTCACAGTTCCATAATTGAATAAAATATTTCGTAAAATAAAACATGAACACTTTTTGGGGGTTATCGTCTCAGTGTCACAAAAAGAAGATTAGATCTGTAGGACTAAAAATTTTACTTTAGAGATATATTCCAACAGCTTAGTTTGTCGTTGTTTTTTACATTATTCAACCAAATACAACAATTGAGTCATTGATGTTGCTAGGAAATTGATGACTCTCATCTCCATTTTTAGTTCTTCATATCACATCTTCTCTAAAACATTGCTCTGTATTATAGCGATCGTTTTATAGATTAATATCAGCAGTGTATGCTACTGTCATACAAGACCTTACACATCTGAAATGAGGACTTTTATTAATAATAAAAATTCTCAGTCTTCTGAACTCTACAATCTATTAGAGTATCGTGTTGTTATGAAGTTTTTTATTCAACGATCGCTTTCGTAAATCTCTAAATGGTTCTATTTTCCGTTATATGTAACTTCAAAAAGTAGGGAAATCTCATTGAAATATATTTTGATCATCATAGGTAACTGGCAAAAATTAGATAAAGCACGAGACATGGATGCTGACACTTGTTTACTCATTAAGAACATTATTTGAACACATTTTAATCTAATTATTCGGATGCCATCAGTTTACACAAGGATTTGGGGCTGTAATTACATTACTTATTCAAATTTCGAACCCTTTATAAGCATAGAACGTCGTCTACACCATTCAGAATGTTAGTCTTTCAAGACATATATTCATGTTTTTGTCAGTTTAATGATAACACAAAATTCTCTTAATCTTTTCAATCCCTTTTGCTTATCGAGAGTATCGAGTAGAAAATGTGAGGTTTCCCTATTCTAAAATGTCTTGAAAATTATTGTGTTACACAATCTTCTATCCATTTGTAAAGAGTGAAGCTTTTAGATCTCAATGTTAATGAACATAGAATATTTGCACTATTCAGATACTCGATGTATCGCTAAACGAAATTGCTATCAAGAATAGTACGACTTATTAGAATCAAAGAGAAAGTTAATAAATCGTAAACGAGAATAAAATTCTGTCAAGAGTCCGTCTTGTTAATTTCGAAGCAAATGGATTTTTTTTCTATCCAATCGCAGTATTCTCGCGAAACTTTTATTGTAAATAGTTAACGGATCAAACTAAATTGCATAGTGAACTGAACGTAACCAGCATTTCCAATTTCAAACTTTTATTTTATCATGAGCGAATTTCTGTCGAGTTCACGAACAATTTGGCAATGCATTTACAAGTAGTGCAAGAACAAATATAATCTGATGATTGTATGAACAGAACTCCTCTTTGTCATACAATTTCCAACACTCAATAAGCGGATGGATAACATACATAGTGATAGATTGTGAATTATTTCATACTAATAGAGTCTTACAGATGGACTAAAACTAAAAAAAGTAAGCTACTTTTTCAGTTGATGTCTCTTGGAAAAAGTGTTTTGTTAAGTCACG